ACCTGTTGGTACCGCCCGGTATTCCTCCCAGACTGTACCTGTGGAGGTGTTGTGGGTCGGGGCAGGTTCTGGTTCCGTCCCTGAGCCGAGCTTCTCTCTCTGAAGGGTGAAGAACCACAGAACCGAGGGGCAGCCGGGCCAGCCGGCACCAGGAGGCCTGGTGGAGCTCGGAGCTGCTCCTCTCCTGCGCCGCCAGCTGCCTCAGGTCCATCTTCAGAACCCAGAGGTGTCGGTGGGTCAGGAAGAGGAGCGCCGGTGGGCCGGATCCCCCAGGCGAGACCTCGGGGAGCAGCGGGTGAGTGTTGGGGGCCGAGGAGGAGGAGAGCAGGTGGGCAGGAAACCCTCCCTTAGCTCCACGGCTCTCCTCCAGCTCCCAGGAGCCGATCAGCGACGGAGGGAGCAGTTGGGGGGCGCCGAGCAGCTCTGGGTCGGGCCGAACCTCCACGGCCTGGAAGTGAAGGACAAGGTTTTACATCTAGTGGAGTCAGCACACAGAAAAAGAACAACGTTCTGCTAAAATCAGACCTATAGAACATCGACAGAACTTTAACAGTCTGTCTTCTTTGAATTAACCTAAAAATCACAAAATAATATAAATTTATGTGTTGCCTATAAGAAAATAAAACGGTTAAAACTGTGAAGAAAGTTTCTTACATCAGACACGTTTGCTTTTATTTTAAAGAATAAATGATTCTGACAAGGACTGAAAACGGTTTTTGTTAAATTACAGAAACATCTAAAAATCACAGGAAAAAAAGTCCAAATTTACGTATTTGTAAAGTAAAAACTGCCGTGAGACCTGAAAACCTGCATTTATACAAACAGTGACCTGTTCTTCAGGATCACAGCGACGTTGTGTTTAAACCAGCTGACTGATGTCGAGCTTGTGTCTGAGTGTTAAAGCGTTCCTCACATGTTCCTCACATGTTCCTACAGTGTAGATCCTCGACACGCAGCGTGGACCAGGTGTTGTCTGAACACCGTGACACTGCCAGAACATTAGTTCTACGTTGTTCAGCTCAGAATCGAAAACAGGCTCAACCAGCTCTTCAGAACTTTGCCTGATTCTGATTCTGTTTCTGCGGTCCGTTCTGGAAACTAAAGCGGCGTCAGATACCTTTTCTGCTGTAACCGGTGTTAAGACGAGCTGCTCTCTGACCTGGATCAGCGCCGCCAGCTCGGTTCTGGTCTGTCGGAGCTGCTCGGCCTCGGAGAAGACGTACCAGCGGCTCGGCCCGGCTCGCAGGCCGAAGCCCAGGCAGGAGTCGGGGAGCACGGCCGGAGAGGAGAGCTGGAGCTGAGAGTACGGAACCAGGAGGTCCACCTGCAGGCCGGACAGAACCTCCTCCATGGACCGGCTCTGGTTCTGGTCTGGGAACAGGAGGACCACACATCCTGAACATGAGGTCTGAATCCGACTGTCTTCTGGACTAAACAAAACTTCATCAGCTCTCAAACATCTGAACTTCTTCTGAAGACTTCAGCAACAATCACAGCGTCAGTCAGAAACGGTGAAGACAGAACCGAGCTCAGCTTCCCAGCAGCTGTCTGCGGAGATTAAAAATAAACCTTTTGCTCTGAACAGGTTCTGTACAAGCTCCTGCTCTCAAGGGTCCACATGATGTGGACGAGACACGAGCACAAAGACAGAGAGAGGAAGACACAACACGACACAACACAAAAGAGATAAATGAGACGGAAAACAACACAACACTAGAAAAACTACACACACAATAGACAATTTTCACTCATTTTACTCCTGGACTAACATAAACTCTCCACTTAAGATGGGAACACAGAATATTCTGCGTTTCTTCCAGAAACACGATCAGACGTCCTGATTTCTTTGTGCTGATCTAACGAAGCTCATTACACTCCTGGTGTCATGTTTCCTCCTCAACCACTCAGTGAACTGTGTTCAACAGCGTTTAGGGAAACAGAAGCTTCGTTTTCTTTGGAAAAGACGAAAACACTTGAGTGTGACAAGCTTCAGATGAAACTATTCAGCCAATCATCAGTGAGTCCGTCTTGCTCACCTGCGTCCTGATTGGTCCCCGTAGAGTCATGTGACAGGAAGAGCAGGCCCAGCAGCCGGTCAGTCAGAACCAGGCAGGCCTCCCTCTGCTCCAGCTCCTCCTGCTCCACCCGAACACAGCAGCACCACAGAACCCGGCGGACCCGGACCTCCTCCTCCTGCTGCTCCTCCTCGCCCGGCGCCACCTGCAGGCCAGCAGGCTCCTCTGAAGCAGCAGGGGGCAGCGAGGAGGACGAGGAGGAGCAGAACGCCTCCTCCAGCGAGTCGTCCAGACCCATCTCGAAGTAGCCGTCCCTGGAGCCGGGACTGGGACAGAACCAGCAGAACCAGCAGTGAGTCTGTCTGGGCTTTAGCTTTAGCAAAAGATACCTAGATTCTGGGTCTGTCTGACTGTGCTGTGTGT